GGTTAGAAAGGGTTCACGCCCTGGGAGATGTAGCAGTGTTGGATGTGAACACCTACAATGTCCTCCTGGGATTGTCAGTCCTCACGACACTACGGGCTAACCTAGATTTTGAAAGATCATCGGTCATTCTTCGAGACACGGGTGGGAAACCGTATGTTATCGCATTGAGATTAACTCTCTGAACCACGCTACCTCTAAGACCCTCGTCTGAGATCAGGGGATCTCTTCGAGTGATCACGTGGAAGGAGCCGAGCCCCGAGAAAGGCCCAAAAGGGGAGGAACCCAAGCTGCCTAACAACTCTTTTGGTAGCGAGGATGACACAGATCCCGTAATCCAAGATAGGACGCACCGATCGATCTGCTACCCCATCTTACAAAAGACAGTGAAAACGTTCCTTACAGAAAAGAACATGCAACGGACTCGAGCTTTAATCTCCGGGGAACCACTCGTACAAGTATCCTGGATGGTTGTTTCCTTGGAACCCCCTCGAACCCTATACGAAGCCACCGCCCCTCTTCTCTCAAGATATCGAGAAAAGAAGGCGTTTTGTGACATTACAGGGCTACCTCGCTCCTTGCTGACTCCGGGAAAGGCGGTGCGATTGCTACGACTAAAGGCCGAAAGCGAAGCTTCGGAACCCCCTGAACGCAATGATCCTACGGTTTACGAGCTCGGAATCAAAATCCTTGAAAGGCCGGTGCGTTGGCCGGATATCAGCGATGGCGTGAGCCCAGAGGAACATGTGGCCATCCAGGAAGAAGACGCACAAATAGTCGCTACCGTATTTTCTTGGCGATCGGATAATTCCTTCATTTTCGCTTCCCCGACAGGAAACAGCAACAGAGTGAACACGAAACATGTAGCAGTTACCATACATGGGCAACTGTACGAGTTACACATACCGCAATATGTTTAAATGAGATTCATTGAGTGATTGCTGATATACTAACTGAATATCAATAAGCGATTAGTGTAACGGGCACGGACACCGGATTGTCGTTGGTCGTCCAACATGAAATTCAGACTGGAACTCACCCGCCGATCCATTGCAAACCATACCGATATTCGCTCACGGAACAAAAGATTGCGTTAGAAAGGTTCCAAGAATTTGACGCTAATGGGTGGATCGAGCCGGCAACTGGACCTTGGTCATTTCCCCTGGTTTTAGTTCCGAAGAAAAACGGGTCGATTCGCATCTGCATCGACTATCTGAAATTAAATGATATAACGATCAAGGATGTGTATCCCCTTCCCCGGATTGATGATCTGCTGGATGCGATTGACTGTGCTAATTACTTCAGTAAGTTTGATATTCGTCATGGATTTCACCATATTCTGGTTAAGGAGGAGGATCGGCCGAAGACGACCTTAGTGTTATTTGAGGGTACCTGTTAGTGACTCTGCTGTAGGATGGGAATGTGCAATGCCCCAACCACGTTTCAAAGACCAGACTGACGCTGGGTATGATTAACTTTTGCGTCATTGTGCATATGCACGATATCTTTTTTACTCGGAATTGTTACATAGACATGCTCAACACATTGAGTGGACACTCGGGGCGTTGAAGGATGCTGGTTTCAAGATCGCATTGGAAAAAAGTCAGTTTTTTGGAAATCTCATTTTTGGGGTATGTGGTGACGCGATGAGGCTTACGACCGGATTCGAGAAAGGTCGCGGCGGTCCGAGAAGCCCCTACGCCTACAACATTGACGCAGGTCTGGGACTTTCTGGGATTGGCTTCGTACTACCAACAATTTATCAAGGGTTTTGCTGCTATCGCACGACCTTTAACGAAACTCCTACGGAAGGACCAGCCACAAAATGGGGATGCAGAATGTCAGCATGCCTTTGTCACCTTGAAGGAAGTCTTGGCTACGGCGCCTATTTTGATCCTGCTCGACCCTGAAAAGTAGTTCATACTCATTACGGACTGGCAATCTGAAACAATCTTCGCTATTCTGGTTTAGAAGGGTAAAAACGGCCGCAAACACGTCATCGAGTATGCCTCGCGAGTGGTACTGGACGAGACAAGAAACGATTCGGCACCACAGGGAGAGTGCTACACGTTTGTCTGGGGAATCCAACACTTCCATCCGTATCTGTACGGACAAAAGTTTCTCCTCGTCACGGATCATGAGCCCTTGCTGGCCCTCAAGAAGCTTACCAACTACACGGGCATGATTGGACGTTGGGCTGTTGGACTGCAAGAGTATGATTTTGACATCGTTCACCGAAAGACAAAAAAACACGGCAACGCTGACGGGCTGACACGATTGCATCGGCCCAACAAGGTGGCTAAGGGCGATGAGATTACACCGTGGAAGGAACCAGAACCAAACAGAGAGCCCTCGTATGGACATGTGGCCATCCTTCCTCGACCCACTAAGAACTGATTGGCAGTCTCAATGGCGACGGGGCACGAAGGTAATTCCGAAGACCCTCTTTCTACCCCTTTGTCTTCGTCTCTTCTCTCCCTGCCCGATAAATTTTGTTATTTTTGTGAAGCAATTTCGAGAGTTTATTCGGTTTCTATGTGTCCTAGTGGGAAAGGATATGTTGAATGGGTAGATTGTCAGCGCTGTGTCGCTCGAGCTCACGGCTCCTGCATCTAGTACGGAAATAAGGTCAAACCTTGGTTATACCCCTTGTGTCGAACTGATAAAATTCCGATGGAGGATCGATTCCTTGAAGCCACGTCTGAAGGATTGGAAAAGACCCAACGGTTTACAAGGGTTGAGGTCTGGACAGATGTCGCCCTGATAGCTACGGTAGTAGGGAACTCCCTCCGAGACTTCACCGAGGAGGACCGCAGGAGGGCCAATGAGAGGGCACGGGACTGTTGATGGAATGAAGGACGGTTAGAAAAGCGAAAAACGGAAAGTAGCAGGATCTGGATGTCCGTACCTCATCCGTTCATGAGGTACGACTGGGTTAAGTCGACCCACGAGGAGACTGCGGCCTACTTCATCGTCCGGATCACGGAGGCGGCGATCGATAAAAACGAATAGTATTGGTCCAATGTTCGCGGCAATGTTAAATTCATCGTTCAAAACTGCCTTGTCTGCGTTGCTAACAAGGCGTCGATTCAGCCGCCTAGATCGATAGTTCCTACCGTGGTTGAACCACCATTTCAAAGAGTCAGCATGGATACCACCGATTGTCCTGCCCCCTAGACCGAATAGCTGTGAGCCTGTGAGTATTGAATCCTTTTGGTTTTTGTAGACCATTTCTCGAAATGGATCGAGGCCTATCCATGTAAGACGCAATAGGCAGCTGAAATAGTGCAATACGTCAACCATTTTCTCGGGATGCACCAGGATACCGAGGAGATCCTGACGGATAATGGGGCAAAATTTAGAGGAGAAGTCTTGAGGAACCTCGTCGTACATGGTGTCTCCATTCACAACACTGCTCCCCATATGTCGCAATCCAACGGACTTGTAGAGAACGTCAATCGAGTGATTAAGACCGCTCTGCAATGTAATATCGTGGCGAATAACACGAGGCCTTGGCCCGATATCGTAGACCGTATATTGGCTGTCCACCGGGGGACACCCCACGAGTCCACGGGTCTGACCCCATTCCAACTACGGACCAATAGACTACCTACCCTGTGCACAAGCGGTTATCGGGTAGCTGAAAATTTAGGAATGAAAATTTTGAAGTGAGAGTTTTGGGGAGTCTGAAAATCGTGAATGGTCCTGAAGTGGTGAAAGGTCCGAAGACCTTGAAAACCACCTGTTTAGGCAGGCTGCATCCTGAAGTGGTGAAGGGTGTCCTGAAGTGGTCAAGTGAGAGTTTAAGGCAGTCTGAACATCTTTAATGGTTCTGAAGTGGTGAAAGGTCCGAAGACCATGAAAACCACCTTTCACTACATGAGGATACAGCCTGCTTGAACAGGTGGTTTTCAGGGTCTTCGGAGCTTTCACCACTTCAGGACCATTCCGGATTTTCAGTCCTGAATGGTCCTGAAGTGGTGAAAGGTCCGAAGACCCTGAAAACCACTTGTTTAGGCAGCCTGCATTCTGAAGTGGTGAAGGGTGTCCTGAAGCGGTGATGAAAAATACGACTGTTGTTAACCTTCTCTCACCCTGTGTTGCCCTATCGAGCCTAAATGATGAGACAACCCTTCCACGACGGACCACTAGGGCGACGATTAAAGATAAGGCCCAACACCATTTGGAATTGATGGAAAAGGTCCTCCTCCGACTGGCCCGAAAAAGAGAGCGGATGACGAAAATGGCCCACGGTAGACAGGTTCGGAGTTATGAGGCCCGAAATGGGAATGTCGGGCCTCGGCCCCAGTATAAATTAGGGGACATGGTGCAGGTGAGGAAAAGTGCTCGCCAAGGCAAGCTAGCGCCACGATTCTTCGGGCGATTTCTCGTGGTTGAGCTAGGTCCAAGCGGGGTGAACACGGTACAACTTGCGTCGGAGGTGTAGGGAAGTTGATCGACTCGTCCGATCATTCGACACGTGTCCTGCCTTCGTCCTCTCCCCTCTTCCCCTTATGCTCCATCGTCCGCATCGTCCATCGGTCAAGACGAGGACAACGACTCTCTAGAATCCTCCTTCTCCTCTCAACCGTCGTCTTCGACATCGCCTCCATCGCCAAGAGTTTTTCGACGGAGCAGGTAATCAACGAGTGTTTTATGACCCCGAGGGGGCGTATAGCGACAAACCAACAGGTGAAGCGACCGCGGTTGAGCCCATATCTTCTTTGATTTGCATCCTTCTTCAGCACAAAGGCCATCCACGCAGCAACGGAGTTTTGTTTCGTACACACAGAGGCGACGCGGGTACTGGCCGAGATTTGGGCTTTCCAGCGCCTGTCATCGCCCGGTGTCGGCCACATGTCCGTCATTGTCACCTTCTCGAGTGACATTACGACGCTGCACCCGACGATCCATATGGACATCTATCAGCAGCTGTGGGGTTGGGCCAAGGAGATCACGGCCACGTAGGTCGAGTTGCTGGCTTGGCGGGGGGAGAGGATCGTGGCCACGAACGACATAGACCTCCGACTCTGCACCTCCAGCAGCGCGCCGAAGATCCTTCTCCTGGAGCTCCTCCCCTTCGAGCCGCCCCAATGAACCGTCATCGTCTCTCCCTTTTCAACCTTTCGTCTGATCTCCCCACCCTCTGGCAATCTGTTATCGATCCCGCCCTCTCTTTCCGAATCCGGGAGCTTAGCATACCGATCTTGGACAAAGACAAGTGGACCAAGTGGGGGGATGCCTACGTGGAGCTCAACTTCTGTTTGGTGTATGTGGTGCTTCATTGGGCGGAGCCGGCACGAGAAGTTGAAGGGGGTGAGGTCCCAGATGACGAGGTAGAGTTGTTGATCGTGCAGGCTTGGCGGACGGGTACGGAGGGAGAACTGTTGGGGATACTATTCGGCAAGGTGGAGGACGATCATTTGGATGCAATCACCGACGAGTTGTTGGTGTTCTTGGCGCAGCTGGTGGATGATTTGCCCCTCGATATTCTGTCGAGGTATGACGAGAAGCCAAGGACAGACGTACTCACTCGCACGCTTGCGCCCCATCTGCTGTGGTCCACGTGTACGGAGATGGACGGAGATAACTGCTTTTACCCGTCCCCGAGCCTCTATCTCGAGATTGATGTCACCGATCTCACATTGTGGGACCCCTTCATCCGGCGAGGGAACGCAATAGACGCCAGCTACGAAGTAGAAGACGAAGGAGAAGAGTCAGAGGAAGAAGAATAGGGCACTAATCAGGATGATCCCGACTACCTTGGGCCAGAGGAAGAGGAAAGCGGATCGGAGGAAAGCGGATCGGAGGAACCAAGTGTCCATCCCCTGCGAAGCAAGGAAGAGGAGGAGGCTGAAGCTCAGCGAAGGCGAGAAAAAGCGGAGGGCAAGCGACCGATCGAGGAAACTGAAGGACCGCCACCACAACTGTTGCGGGGCGATCCATCGCTGAATCCGGAGTCGCCGCGAGAAGAATCCAATGGAGCCATAGCGGAGGGATCACGAAGTCGACGCTGCAGAAAAAGTGAATCCCCGGCTCCGTCTTCTTTGCCATCACGAGCCACCCTTCGCCTTCGTGGAAATACGAGCAATCAGGCTTCGTCCCCGGTCGTTATCCTGTCGTCCCCTTGACTTCCTCACAACCCACCAACTCGGGGGTCGACCCCCGCTCCCTGATGGATGGTGCCCCTTGCCGCCCACTCTCTTCCACCAGTTTTACACCACCCGCCTTATCGTCACCGTCGTCCCGCATGCTACCACCTGTTCCTTTGTCGCCTCCTTACCTCTCCATGTCCTTCTCTTCAGCGTGGCCTGGCGGGAAGATAATAATATAGAAGTTTATTGCATCATCTCTGGTACAATTCCCGTCTGTGAAAACTATGAGAGCTTCCACGCTGCAATCCCACGCACCCTCTCTACTCTCTATCCTGACTATCTCGCCTCTCTCCTTCATCAACGCGCCAACCCCCGATTCCCCTGCATCCACCGCACCGTCCATTACACCCGGATCCCCACCAGTGATAGGGAGATTTGTCGCTTCATACCTCCCCTTCCACAAGTCCATCCACCACCTCCTCCACCCGTTATCAGATTACCATTCCCGGGCAACGTTTTGGATTGAGCGCCCGCATGCCACGTTCGATGACTTCCACACTCAAATCCTACAGTAAGTGACACGTGTCAGCTCCGAGCCGATCATCGGACCCATCGATCGGTGCCTCGTCAGAGAGCAAGTAGGAGCTTGCTCAAGATTGAAACCGCCTGGGTGTCACATATGTGACGAACTATTTTCTGTGATCGTGCGACTTTCTCCGTGAATATGCTTAGGGAAATACGATGGGTCGGATGGGTGAACTGTGGGAAGATGGGTCGGATGGGCAAATTGCATGGATGTCCTTGTTTCTTTTCATTTTCTGTTGGAAGTTGTCGAATCCGTATCGCGAAAATCCCCTACCAACGGTTGGGTAGCCGCGCCTTAGCGAGCACGAAAGGTCAGTGTACCATATTTTCTTTCTTGTTCTACTGTGAGTACTGGGAATTTTGGCGAGATCAACGAGCCAGAATATCGTTTTTGAATTTTCAACTGAATATCGAGCCCCCACAGGCTTGCGAGATTTTTTTTCTTTTCTGCTTTTTTGCAATTAGGACTTAGGCTAGGGATTTAGGTACTTTGAATTTTGTTGCGCCGCTCTTGCGTGCATCTTGTTGCGCTGCGGACTGGACCCTAGCTGGATCGCGCCCTTAATCTTGTATAACTGTCGGACGTGATTGTAACTGTATCTTTCTTCTTTCTTGGTTTCCTCGTATTTGCTCGCCTTCTCCTTCTTCCTCGCCTCACATACTCTGTTCTAATTGGCCGGAGCGCTTGCATGACCGGATCGATACGTGGAGTGTGGCTACAACCCCCACGCAATGGCCTAGCCATGCAGACGTAGGCACTTCCTCTCCTCTCCTCTCCTCTTGTCCACCTGGGCTTAATCCCGTACCTTTCGCGTAGGCATGCATGCTATAAATTTGGCAAGCGCGATTAGTTTGCTCTCTGAGAATTTCGAGGTTAGTGCGATTAGTGACGGTCGACTAACGAGCAAGTTGGAAGGTGAGTGAGTATGAGAGTTGGGCGATCCAACAAGTTGGTGCTGAATATGCGGGGTTGACGTGTGGGCCGTGACGGACTATGGCGCACGTGCGAACCTGGCTTGCATATTTGGACTAAGCGAGGTAACAACTCTGTGTGGATGCAAGGCGACGGAATGCCTGCATCGAGGGAAGAGAGAGAGAAAGAGAGAGATAGAGAGCAGTCGTGGGTGTGGGATGAGGTTCTTTCCTTTGTTCGTCTGTACAATTTTGCATCCTGATATGGCCAATTTTATCGCGGCCTTTTCCTTTTTGGACTTCTCTCGTAAATCATCTCGGATTTTCCTTGTCGTTTTTATTTCGTATGCACTGTGGTGCTGCGCGTTCGTTGAATGTGAGTTCCTCGTTCATTTTTTGAACGTGTTGAACGCGCGTTCAAAGAACGCGGGTGAACGCTCTGAACGCGAACGAGCAGAGCGCCACCCACGCCCGGGAGGCCCGTCGGGGGCGCTGGGGAGCGGCGGCGGGGCTTGGGGGGGCTGTGGGCAGTGTGGGGAGCGGCGACAGTGCTGGGGGGGGGCTGTGGGCCAATGCCCCAGGCAAAACGAGCAAAAAAAAAAAAAAAAAAAAGTTTGTGTGTGAATTTGTGTGTCTGCGTGTGTGTGAATGTGTGTGTGTGTGTGTATGTGAAGGGTCCTTTTTTTTTTTCGGGGGGGTGGGGGAATCCCCCTAACATGGCTCAGACGGCCCATTCAGGCTATCTGAATGGTCCTTGCAGCCATGTAGCGCAGACCCCCTTCGCAAAATCAAGGCAGGAAGTGAATATAAAGTAGAGCACGAGCTGGCCGATTATATACTCAAGATTCGAATTCCGGTCTGTATTTCAGAAGTTATGGGTTGCTCACATAGCTAGGCCGTATTCGTCTCTGCACGTGATTCTCAGGGCTTGGCTGCATTACTCACCAAATGTGCAAAACTAGAATGAGTCTTCTGCAGAACATGGAATAATACGCCGCCATATGTTTTGTCTTTTGTGCATGTGGTGAGTAGAGGCCTTTAGGGCCACTGCACGTTTTCCTAAGAAAAAAAAAACGAGAAAACGTAAACGCGATTGAACGCGGCCCCGGGGGGTTTGAACGTGAACGCTCGTTCAGCCCGTTCAAATGGTCACATAGCGTATGTATGCATGGAATGAATGTGAATTCCCTTTTATTAGTGATCTTTTCGGATTTCCAAATCTTGTTTTGATGCTTGTTTCGTCTCGGACTACTATCCATTCGTGTAAGCTGCACACTCAGATCTGATTGAAAACGCTCGTTATAAATGTTTGGGTTTAGTCGCTAACTTTCGATCACCAAGAATGTTGTGAGAAGTTGATGATCCTTTCCTCCTTTTCGTCACATGTATGTTATGTAATAACCGGATCTCACCTATTATAGCATGAGTAGGATATTATCATGTTTACATATATGCCGAACGCGATCGGTACATTGAACCAATCCTCCGTTTCTCACGTGCGCGCTCTTGTACGATCGCGATCTCGAGAAAGAGTACGACCGTGATCTCGAGAAAGCATATGACACGTGGTCCGGTGGTCAAGTTGGCTATCGGCTTCTGCACCCCGACCTGCTCCAGGTAGGTGACGGGTCCTACGACAAAGCCCATGTTTTCAAATTTGTTTTGCAGCGTAGCGAGCTCCATTCGTGCACATGTAAGTTCGAACGTATCCCCCTCTTTAACATGATCCTCGCCTTCGAGGAATCTGTCAGAGAACTTTCGCTCAATTTCCTCAGTGGCGTCCATTATTTGCTGTAAATTGTCGGTAATGGGGAAAAATTGGTTTCGCAGTTTGACCCTCATTGCTCGGCTTCGGAATCCGTCGATGAAAAATTCCATAGTGATTGTCTCTTCCCTCTTCGATTTGATAAAGAATCTATAGAATCGACTTCGATATTCTGCTACGGATTCAAGCGGCTTCTGTACCCTTTCTTTGATCAGGAAGAATGTCGGTTCGGGATGAATATAGTCAAATCGGTGTAAGAAATCTCTTTCGAACGTCGGGAGATCGATCCACGTGTACGTGCTAAACCAATGGTGCGCGTCTCCGCCCAATAGAGCGGGGACATTGATCCTGACTTTATCGTTATCATATTGTTGCGCTCGGAGCGTGGAAAGCCATGCTCCTGCCAGGTGGTGTGCAAGATCAAATAAGTATAAATGAGGGGGGGTGAATGGGGCGCGAGCACGTGGGGGCTGCGGGGGAGACAAATTCGGTTGGTTCACCACACCTTGCACCTTATTGGCGTTCATGTTACCCGCCTACCTTCTAGCGGAGCGACTTCTAGTTATTATCGGATCGTGCGTCCGCACGTTTCTCTTTCTAGCTCGTCCCTTTCTAGGACTCGACAAATTCGTTGACTGGTGGAGCCAGACCACCTGTCAATCCTCTATCTTGACACGTGTCGGCTCTGATACCAACCTCATGGCCAATGCGACTTCTTGGTTCGGACTGTTAGGGGGGCCCGGAAGTGCAAAGAGGGGTGTGCCAAGGATTTTAGGAAAGTAGGGGTGGAGTCCTAGGTCAGAACTGAGATCTCTGGTGGCAAGCTTAGGGGTAGTTGAGAAATATGGTGGTCCCGAGTTATATTGGACTTCGGGAGACCGGGCTACCTCCGGTATGAGTGTCGCAGTCGGTCCCGTCTCTGGTGGATTGGTGGGTTGTTATGGCTGTCGTGCTGTTCGAACAGGTGCCGACGCTGCTCGGCCTCGACTCGGGTTCGTCAGATAAATCCCTAAGTTCGATACTCCTGGTGCTGTCGACACTCTTCACACGGTGTGCGGGCCCAATAGCGAGCTATGAAATTCCACGGTACCACTGTGAGTTAATGGTAGGGGAGAAGGAGATGGAAGGGACGAAAACTGGTATTAATAACGACAAAGCCCGGAGATATGTAATACTGAGTGCTGTTAGTATTCGGGTAGTCCGGGCCACGGGGATCGCTGGTTATGGCCCAGTGAAAGTCCCCCATGCACAGTCGTTTATTCTCCATCAGACAGGGGAATTCCGGGTTTCTCAAGTTTCCCCGCCGTCTGAGTTGTTCACCCTACCAGTATTCGCGATACTTTGGGTGCCTTAGATTCTTACGATCGGTGATCCAAGACGAGGTTTTTACGGTCATATGCGATTAGTGAACTCGGTCTCCCGCATCCTCATACTGAGTCAAGATCGAGGTC